AAGCGGTTCATAATTATACGAACACCTCAAACAAAGGTTCATTTTTTATTCGAGATTGCAGTCATTTGATTCCAAATTTTTTGTAAAGCTGCAGTAACAAAGTCTGACGTGTCCGCTACACACTGAACCCAGTGCAGTTCAAAAAGAGGACCGTTACTTTTTTCAGAAGGCTCTAAATGCTTCTGGAGTGATTGCGCTCCAAAAACATCCGTTCTTCTGCGGTCTATGCGCTCTAATTAGCTTCTACCAAAGCTATGAGATAAAATAAGCTCTTGCGATAGGTATTTTGTTTGATGCTTGGAAAATCTTTGCGTTTTCGTTTTTTCTTCGTGCCGTTTTTCAACCAAGTTCCAACCTAACCACAGAGTTAGCACGATTTCGAGCCTCAAAACTCAGCTTTTCTCTCGCGCAAACATGTGATACGAAGCAGCTGCATTGTTTACATGATGAGGTTTCTGTGCCAAGGTTTTTGGGTTTTTTGTGGAACTGATTTTGAGGCTGTGGAGCTACAAACCAAATAAAGGTGTGATTGCAATAGTAAAAGCAGCGTTTTCGATGAAATGACGTCTGCGTGGCCAAAACAAACGCTCAACGCTGCTGATTTTTTCTAGCCGAATATACAGTCTTGTGATCTTCTACATAGTAAATGCTTACTTCATTGTACGGCTTCAGAAGCTGAGTTTTGAGGCTTGAAACCGTGCTAACTCGTGGTAAGGTTGGAACTTGGTTGAAAAACGGCACGAAAACGCAAAGATTCTCTGAGCGTCAGACAAAATACCCACCGAAAGAGCTTATTTTATCTCATAGCTTTGGTAGATGCTAATTAGAGCGCGTAAACCACAGAAGAACAGATGTTTTTGGAGCGCAGTCACACCAAAAGCATTCAGAGCCTTCTGAAAAAAGTAACGGTCCTCTTTTTGAACTGCACTGGGTCCATTGTGTAGCGGACACGTCAGACTTTATTACTGTAGCTTTACAAAAAATTTGGAATCAAATGACTGCAATCTTGAATAAAAAATGGACCTTTGTTTGAGGTGTTCGTATAATTATGAACCGCTAAAAATTCGCACTAAGCGCAAAAACACTCCCGAAATTGACATCCATTTTCATTCTTATGGATCATATACCGTTCTCGGTTGTGCTCTTTCGAGTGGTACCAACGGCTTTTTGAGCTTCTCCCAAAAAGTCCAGAAATTTCTAAAATTTGGGGTGTTCGTATAATTATGAACCGCACTTTATAACTCATACGCAAAGTATAAAAAGATTCGTTCTCCACCGGAGAATCGACTTGACTTCTCGCCTCTAATGCCAGCACACTAACTACTGCACAAAAACGTTCGCACCAGGGTTTTTTTCGAAGTCAAGAAGCGCCAAAAAAAGGATTTTCACGCTTCCTTAACTCCTTTTGGAAGAACGTTCCGCAGAATCGAAATGCAGATTTGAAATCAGCGTTCAAAATGCTTCAAAAGATATGCATCTGATATCAAACGGACACGGCCACTGAAAGTACTTCCTTTGTTAGCAATGTGCTGTAGCTTTCATGAATTACTGTTGTAAATGGATTGGCATGTAAATGCATTCAGTTATACACATGCTTTCAATAACTTCCCATTTACGGTTGCGCTAACAAAAGTGATGCAGATTTTCAAAAAAAAGCTATGCTGTAGTGGAATTAAAAAGAGTTGTCTGGTAAGGGGACAATGCATTTGCGCCTTCTCTGAAGAGGCTTTTCTCAATCTAAATAATAAATGCTAAGACAATTATCGCGAGCACCCGCGGCTCCTGACACTGCCCTTTGGCAGTGCGCGGACCTTAAGTTTTTGGATTGACCATTCCTGTATTCAATTGGCAGCACGCGGCTCAACGTAATCGCAAGGGAAAGGCCGCGGAACCAACTGTTTCAAGGAGCACCCGCGGCCCAAGAAAAAAATTCGGGTGGGATTCGAGCTTTACTAAACGCTCTCATGCTTAGTTTTCGAGCAAGCCCCGGCCCTTTAGGTTACGGCTTGACAGAACCGTTTTGGTGAGCCCCGAGCTTTGCTAGACGCCACAATTTTTACACACTGTGAGAGAAGACGTTACTTGCGTTAGATACACCGCGGTGATAGGGCTATCCTCAACATTTGCCGGTGGAGTAAGAACTCAAGTAAAAGCAGATTATGGTTATTGATAGTTTCTCTGACCACGCAGGAGCTCTTGAATTTAGGACAAAGGGTGGAGGAGCACTGGGACTATTTTAGAAGTCACCTTGCATTTTTGTAGAATTGTGGACTTTATGTCAGGCTGAAATGGAGGCAGGTGTTCAGATTCCTACATAATTCAGATAACGGGTTCTTATCGAGCCAGCATGGGTGCAAACTGCGCATTTGTTCGGCGCTTGCTAGGCGACCTTATGGTATTGTTCGAGCGGCTATCAGGTCATCCGCGGGCACTGTCAAGCGCTTATCGGGTACTCATCGGGCGGGCTTGGCGTCCACCGCTCAGATAGTCGCCGGGAGCAAGCGGACCGCAAACTCGCGTTTTCTTATAGGCGGTCAGCAAATTTTTGAGGCGTGGCCAAACCGTTAACGAGCGGTTTCTCCTTTACGTCGCTTGTTCTGCCAGCGAGCAGCAATATAGAATTTTCTGCAAGCTTTCGTCGATTTGTTTTTTTCAGCGAGCGCACTGACTTATGTTACGCAGTTTCGGGCGTATGCCGAGCAAAGGTAAACTTTATATGGCAGAGGTGTCATCGGTGGTTCAATTGCCAGTTTGGGGTACTTTCTCTCAGCGGAAGGTACCTGCGGGCCGTGCATCCTTCACAAAAGGCCGTGCTCCCAACAATAATTTTGCATATTCTCGTGAAAAGTCCGCGAGAATGCGGTCACCGGGCCGCAACAAATCCATAAACCGCGTTTGTTCTCGCAGCACTCGTTTAAAAATTGGCCAACATTTTTCAAAATTTCTGCAAGCGGACCGGCCAGTGCTCGCTTGCCCAAAAATCGCATGGCCGCATGTCCCCGGCCATTATCTGGGCGTGGATGGTCGGCGGGGGCTCGCCATAATTGTCTGAGTGGGTAGAGAAAGGTTTTATCATGACACTCTGTAGTATGCTATTGACGCCATCAAGACGAGTGGATGCGCAACATTTTCTTGGTTTCCGCAACATTTCCGGATTGAACGGGCTATAGTAGTACCTTGGTAAACTGAAAACATGGTACGTTTACATTGCATGAGATTTTACATTGGGTGAATGTAAATTTTGGCAGCTTGAATTTTATTATTGAGATTCCTTGTTTCGAACAGTATTAAGAAGACTTTGACTTAACTTACATAACTCACTACATAACTCATAACTTACTCACTTACATAACGACCTTTGCTTATCAATCTAGCAACGCTTTACCGCTGTTCTCTCATAACCCTTGACGCGGCACCTTAAAGAGCTCGGGCAAGATCTTTCGAAAATCTCGCATTCTTGCATTGCTATACCGCAAAGTCACGATGTAAATGGCGTGCCATCCTCAGAAGAAACTTTAAGTCTTTCAAATGGTTTATCAAGCGTACGGAAGTTTCTCATGTTTCTCAGGTGAAAAGACAAAAAAGTTGAATTTTGGCCCAATAAACAACTAAAAAATAATGTTCTAGGCTTTTTCAGAGACGGAAGAAACTTGAGGAAGTCAGCGTATAAAAGGATAGAGCGTAAAGATCTCTATCAATTATTAGCCAGAATGTGCGTTTACTTGCAAAGGATTGAATAGCAAATATCTCCGGTATACTAACATATGTCCTGACTCAACGAGCTGTTCCAAGTTGGGTGACTGTCTCCCCACCTATTGCGGCGTGGCATTTTGCATTCTCACGTGTTTTACCCCGCAGATATTGCTCAAAGTTTATTGTAGATGTGGTTGACTTCGTGTTTCAGCAAGTATAAAAATTATGGATGTAGATGATCATGTTAGGTATTGACTAAACGAAAAAAATATGTTCTGACATCTACATGATGAGAGGAACTAATCAATTATCCTGAAAAACCTGTGCTTATCCAGGGGTCACATTGATTTCCGTTTACTTTAACACGTTGACGACGAGCCATTTTTTTGCGGTCTGTCCCTGTGGACGAGACGTTTCCATGCATCCCTACGCGTGGCCCATGTATGTAGCATGCATCCATGCACGAAGTACAAAATGTGCAAGCCCCGCCCCCTCTGGCAAGCTCCGCCCACTCGACCATAAATGTCGGAAATTGCCCAAATTTCAAGAATTTATGCGATTTCCGCCACTTTTGAAAAGTAGGCGGAGCTTGCCTGACGGTGGGCGGGGCCTGGCTAGAAGTTGCTTGAAGTCTTTGCGTTCATCTACAGCCTCATCCATGCTTTTTGTGGACAAAAAGGATCCTTGTGAGAGGCATAAAAAGGGGCGGAGTTTGCCGAAAGGGGCGGGGCTAATACACGAAGTACATCTGAGCCTATGTTGATTATATGAACAAAAGCTGAGAGGATTGGACAGATAGTATTGAATTTAAGGCCGCCGCGCACCATTGCGCGGCGTCGTCCACAGGGATAGACTGCCTGCCGCGCACCATTGCGCAGCACTGTCGTCAACGTGTTAATACTAAAAATCTCGTAGCACGAGGATGTATTCTTAACAAACAGTCATAATATTCAAGCATTATCATCTACCATTTATTAATACCTACATAAAAATTATTTATCCATATATTAAACACAATGTCTGTAAGGTTCCGACTTAATCGTTTGTGTTCTATGGAAAAGCCGTCGTTGGACCGATTAAGCTGAAGCTTTGCACGCTTATGTATCCAACCTTTGGTCAGAATGTAGAGTATTTTTTGTGGCGATTTGCAGAGTCCTTTTACTAGTTTATTGATTTGTTTACTTATATTTAGGAAGACAAAAGTTTAACATGCTTTAACCAATCATTTTCGAAAACTTAACATGTTCTAACTAATCATTTTCCTATAAACATGTAAGAAGGGGCGGTGAAGCTCATTTTAATTACAGGGTCGACAGGATGCGGCAGTTCGTCTCAAAGCGATTTTCGCGCATGGTAGAAGAAGTTTGAAAGCGTAAGTAACACATTTTGGTCAAACTAATTTATAGGTCATCCTTAAAATCGTGACAACGGGTTTGACTGAGGCCTTTGCGCACACAGGAGCATAAATTGCCCATACAAAAAGGCATCACCTCAATACTTGGCTCAGTCACTTCCAGTGTCTGAACAATATCAATTCAAGCAGAAAAACCATTCCGGTAGGATAGAAACCAAGAAAAAGCGGTTGCTGGAAGTGCGGGCGTGTCGCGCCCGGTCACGCCTTCGTCACGATTTTCGAATGCCCTATAAAATCTCGGGAGAGAGCGGGACCGTCATCTAATTCTATATAACTAAAATATTATTAGTTACAATAATTGTAAATTTTAGCGTACAGTTAACTCGAAATTTTTTTCAGAAGATATTCTAGGCCCTCTTTCCTTATTGAGAAGTCCCGAGGAGGGTCTTGTAAATAAAAAATATGGCCAGAGGAAAGGATAAAACGAATTTTTTAGGAATATTGAAATAAAATAAAGGATAAAGGATGCGGCGTCTTCAGTACCTCTGAGGGCATGCGCCGAACGCACACACTAACTGCATGGTCGAAGAGGCAATTGTATGCGTGCGAGCCTAATACAGTGACTTGCGGGGGCCAGCCGTTTCCAAGTCAGTGCTTTTATCCTCCCAGATTTCTCTGATACCAATTTAACGGCCCCGGAGGGTAGAGGGCTTGGTTGGCAGGGGGCGGGGATCGAACCTGTGTCCGATCTGGTCATAACGGCGCCTCATACCGCTACGCCACTTGTCCCCTTTAGAATATTACACTTTTACAATTTACTAGCTGCGGTTCCCGGTCCCGCCCGGGCCGAGAGTCCAGAATGGCCCAGCATAGGGTGTGTTTCAAGATGTATACTTACCAGTCCTCCACTTTCTTCAGTTCATATCTTCTGTTCTCTCCTGCTTCACCTCCATGTCAGTTTTAGCGCTCGTGTAGTATCCGTGGTGAATAGTCTTCTTTCTTGTCCGGCTCGCTTCATGACACCGCATGCTCCTCACCGCAAAATGTAAATGATCTCTACCACCCCTTACTACTCACTTGGAGAAATGAATGGTATAGCCTTCATTTTCCTAGATTTTAGTAAACAAAATCAATAAATCGATAGAAGGACCCAGCGAATTGTCGAAAAAAGTAGCCTATCTTTTGCGCCGTGGCTTATTCATAGGGAAACAAAATTCAGCCTCTTTGGTTCACATACAAAGGAGTCTATAAGCCACAAACATCCTAACAAACACGGTACAGTGTTTGAGTTTTATATATATACCAGTCCGATCGTCCGGCTTCGCCGGACTCTCAGACTGTGGCTTCAAACGTGCACTGAAATTAAGTTCTGACGAATCCCATCATGAATGGCAGAGGCATACCTCTTAGAACTGAGACGCTCCATATCAATCTGCTTTGATTATATTATCAACAAAAAGTAAAAGGTACGATTATTTGCGGAAAGAGAGAATTATGCAGCTAAGCATTTGTAGAAATCACTCCTTTTGAGTTTCAGCTACTTTTCTTTGACTATGTTTGACTAACTTTGCTGATGATTCGGACTGAATCACTCTATATGAGAGACATTCTTGTTGAATAATCCATTATCAAAAATTTACTGCGATAAATTTCATCATTGACAACAATGAGGTGAGCACGAAATCACGGAAAAATCTGCCTTATGCATCGTAAAAATATGAGCAAAGCTTTTGACGCGAAGACAATGAGAAATAATGATACGTCCATAATATCTATTATCTAGATGCAAATGACGAACTATTCCAGATTGATGTGAAAGCAAATTTTGCAAAAAATATCGGATTCAAGGCCCCCATTCATTTTCACTCTTTGACGTAAACATTTTTGGTAACGATAATTGCTGCTCATGTCCTAAGTATGGCAATTTTGAAAAACATCGCAGGCTTCCTTATCATTTGAGCACACGGTGAAAATGTTTTCAGCATCCTTCTCAAGCGAAATCGTAATATCTATACTTGCTACATGTTGACAGTAAGCAAACGCTGCTAGCAGTTGTACATGATATAAGGAATTCCTGTAAAGATGTTTATGCAAATTTAGTCTTCTATCAAATAAAAAACATGCACCTCGTGTATGAGAATTCCGTGATTCAGCACAGCTCATAGGCTTTCGTGTGCTCACTTTACATGGCACAATTTACTCTTGTATAATGACGGAGGTGATTGCTGAAGTAAACGAAAACAGTGCTGCTTGTCTTAGCAATCTTGAAGATTATCTACGTACATCGCGTTCAAAACCTTAGAACAGTCATGGAAAAAACTTGCTAGTGTTCTCGAAATTTGACTCGCCATAATTGATTCTTACTAAAGAAGCAATGTTCTGTGCATTTCTGCCATCTAAAGCAAATCAAAAAAAGCTGCTGTCAAGTTAAATTCGATACCGCTATCTTACTTGTCCTAATATCATTGCAGAAATACGAATCATCTGGTTTCTATCAGGTTTGTTCACCAAGTAAGTTTGATTTGCTCTTCTGACTAATCTCAGCATTGACTCAGACAGATGGATGGAAGGAAGAAGTACTTATGGAAACTTGATTTAACTATTTTATGCTCTCTTACTATATGACTCTTTTTTCTTACTTCTTTGGCATGAGTCATTTCATTTAATTACGTTGCTATCAAGAAGCTGCATAATTCTGATCTTTCTCTCATTTTCTTGAAAACCAAGTAATAGTCCGAGTAGTAGTAGTTAAAGTTGGTGCAAGTAAAACGGATTAGAGCAAAACCTCCTCAAAAACAATGTTTCGAACTGTTCTTGTTGGTGTACTCACTTTCAGGCCGGCCGGTGTTCGCACTCGGGAGAAGGCAACATACAGCTGCCCGTGACTAAATACATCTTCAGGGAGATAAACACCAACTTTTGCAAATGTCTGCCCCTGAGACTTATTAATCGTCATTGCAAACGCGACTTTAACGGGGAATTGACGTCTTCTCAGTCGGAATGGTAGTAGTTTTTCGCAATAGTTATCGATCCTCGGAATAACGGCTGGCTGGTCTCTTCGTTCCCCACAGATAAAACGGCAACCTAAGACAAAACGCCCTAGGGTTTCAATCCTCAGTCGTGTGCCATTGCAAAGGCCGTTAGTTACATCGAGGTTTCTCAAAAGCATAACTATGGCTCCCTTTTTCAGTCTCAGCTTATGAGGAGGCATTCCTGATGGTTCCAGGGAGTTAAGATACTCAACCGGGTAGAGTTCGGAATCCCCTTCATGAAGGATAGCATCGTCTATGCTTCTATAAACTTTCTCGTCGCATTCATTATCTACATGTAGACGTTGCATCGCGTCATCATTCAGTTGTTTAACATTAACATTTTTTGGAGCCAAGATGGCCCGTTCATAAAGAGTCTCATTTGTATCAATGACTTCGCCAAAAATAGCCGTCACGATATTGTCGGTAGTACAAATAATATCTTCATTCAAAGTAACGCGTCCATCTTCGCCGCTCGATCCGTCTCCGATTTCTAAAAGGAACTTGTGCCAATCGCCCCCTGCTTCCCGAGCGCGCACGTTTATCTGAAGCCGGTGTACCTTGAAGAGGGTCCAGAGCGGGGATCTCGTGACACATGCTTCGACGACGTCTTCTCTCTGACCATGCTCGATGACCGGTAAAATCTGACGAAAGTCCCCACCGACTATGAACAACTTGCCTCCAAATGGCCTATCATTTTGCATGATGTCACGAAGCAAGCTGTCGACGGCCTCGAGCGAGCATCTTGGTGCCATAGAGATTTCGTCCCAGATGATGACCTCAGTGGCCGAAAGCTCAATTGCTTCCCGTTGTTGCCTTTTCATTAATGACGAACGATTACCGTCCGCCATGTTGAGCTTAAACGCTGATATTGCAGTTCGTCCTCCCGGAAGCAGATTCGCAGCGATGCCGGTCCACGCCACACAGAGCACACGGCGGCGCTGAGCCACAGCTATGTTGTACAGCACTGTGTACAAATAAGTTTTTCCTGTGCCTCCCGGACCATCAATGAAAAAGCACCTATCAAAGTTGCGTTCCATGGCTGCAATAATGTCGTCGGCTGCCCTTTTCTGATCAGCATTCAATGTTTCATAAAGACGTATTCCTTCACTGCGGTATTGTTCGTAATCTATTGTGTCACTTGGAATAACAGGGCGCATGTTTGCAGGAGGTCTTATAAGCTGCCTCAAATCTCTCCCTAAAAGTGACAATTTATCTGCTACATCGAAATACGCCATCGCAGCAGATTCCTGTTCGTCGAGGCCTCGATTCACATAATCGTCACTCATTGCCATCACAAACTCATTCCAAAGTTCTTGTGCATCTGCTACTTCGCAATAGCAGAGCAGACATGCAAAAAAGCTTCGCAAAGTAGCCGCTGTTTGAAATTGAACTACTTCCTGTATACTCTGTCTGTAGTAGGTGTCATCGTCCAGGAAGCCCGAAGCTTTTGCTGCATCCGAAAAAGTTCTATAAGTTTGCCCATCAACTGTGCGAAGATCCTCAAACGAACATTTTCCTTTTGTATTGAGTAGAAGTATCCGGAGGCAGTAACGTTCAGTATCTCGCGGTGATACGGTGTACATTCTACCGATTTCCTTGCCTCCTCGTCTCCTTGGCTTCCAGCCATATCGGGCAGAGAACGTAAAATGTTCTGGAATTTCGTGATAATAGAGTTCGCGGGCATCCACAGTTAGGTCCGTAGGTTCGCCATTATCAAAGGCTCTAGAGCATCGTACATTCAACTCAAAAAATGCTGTGAGTGTCGTATACATGGTCTGTGCGCGATTTAGGTACTGTTCTTCCTCTCCAGCAATAAAATGTACGACTTGGTGTCCTGGAAGGTGAACAGCCAATCTGAACACAGTGTGAGATCTGTCCTGCATGGGAAAACCGAAAATTCGGTGAAGAGCCTGCGGCGGACATACATAACGTGTGTTTAAATGCTGTTTAATTTCGTCAACGATTCCCTCATCACCACCACTTTCA